AGTGGGGACTCTGACAAATGGACCATTTTGGCCCAAAGCAACACAAGAGCAAGATGAGCTTTCTTGGCCTAAAATCCTGGCAGCTTTCTGGAAAGGCTCTGGGAGTTTGTGTGATTTATTTCAGACCAGCTAAGCCCAAGGCCTGCGATGTGTCCGTTTTGAGAAAGAGCCTGTGCCTAACTGAGGGTCAGAGTTCTTACTGCACAGCCTGACCCCTGTCACCTGCCCTAATCAGAATTGTGCTCGGACACGAGCTCAACTCTGTGCTCCGGTGGCAGGAAAATATATCTGTTGCCAGAAAGCGGATTCTCCCGTGATGAAGACTGATCTTTATTTATGTCTGCATAGGTACATTCTGGGGCCCATAAAGGTTTAATTGTCCTTCTAACTAGTTTTTTCAAAAACTCACAAAGATCTTGCCAGCTTTCCCCAGAGCGTAAACCCAACTGAATGCGTTTCTGTGAAAACTGCTTTAAGTGTGTAACGCACGCCGTGTCCTGGGGCACAAGGCGCGATTGTTTTGGGAACTGGAAAGATGCAGCTCTTAGGAGAACTTTTAAAGTCAGTTTTTGTGGCTTTCGGCTGCTGCTGACCTTGGGCTGCTCTGAAGAGAGAAAAACTCCTTCAGCAGGGATTTCTCCAGTGGTGCAACTGCCCCCTACTGCCACCCTTCGGTTCAAGGGGCACCTTGGTGTCTCCGGGCCCTGGAGATCCTTCCTTTTCTCCTGGGAGAGACAGATATTTCCATAAGGGTTCATTGTGCAAAGAAATGGTGGCACACACCTGTAATCCCAGCACTTGGGAGGCTGAGGGAGGAAGATCGCTGTAAGTTCAAGGCCAGCCTGGGCTACACAGTGACACCCTGTCTCAAAAAAAAAAAAAAAAAAAAGGCAAAGAAATGTGATTTCAGAGTGTAATGAGTGCTCTGAAAATAATGTACAGAGTGTTGGAAAAGCTAATAGAGAACCACAGAAGTTTCTCTGAGGAAGTTAGCCTCTATGAGTGAGATCGGCAGGATGAGAGGGAGTGGAGGAGATGGGAGGGGTGTTAGAACAGGGAGAAGCGTGGTAGGTGGAAAGAACAGACTGTGCAAAGACCCTGGGGTAGGAAGGAGCAGGAGCGTGCTCAGTGTTGCTGGTGGACTGAACGAGCCTGAGAAGCAGGGAGTGAACACAGTTCCCAGAATCTGCTTTGTCCTCTGTGTTGAGCCTCCTGTCCCTGAAGATTTGAATGGTTTCCCCATCCATCAAACTTCTCTCTGAATTTCAAAAGAGCACTGCCTGCCGGCCCCCAGATTACCTCAGCCCTTCTCCTGCTCCTCTTGGGGTCGAGGGAAGAAAACACATCCGTCAAGAGACTGAAGCAAATAGTTTTGACATGCGGTTCTGCCCCTTAACGTAGGCCGTAGTGAAGTCAGTCCCAGTTTACAGGGCTCCAAATGGTTCCATTTAGGGGCCCCAGCCTGCATTAACATCACCCTGCACTTTAGGTGACTGTTTTATCTTCTAGGAGATGCGACCATACTCGCAGTCTTGGCCTCTATTTAACTTCATCCCTTTTTCCATTATACAGCCTGTCATTTACATTTTTCTTTAGGACATGTAAGTATTTACTTACACTATTAGCTTTTACCCCTGCATCATCTATACATGACGGACTAAACAGACTGCAATATGGATTTTTCTCCTGAATTTTCCATAAACTGGCGGTGACCTTAGCCAGGTCATTTAACCTCACTGAGCCTCAGATGTTGGTTTGTAAAACGATACATTTTCATTTTTGCTTTGTTATAGCTAGCTGATCTGTATCCAGGATTTCTCTTAAGATCTCTGTACCTCTTACAGCTACCTATAAATATGCTTCTTATATCTTTATCTTTATCTTTATTGCCCTTCCTTTCAGAGTGTCCTTGTGGATAAGACCAACTTTTCATAATTTGATTTTGAGGGCACACTGTACACAGAATAGTATTTAATGAGACTAGATCATACTACTGGGATTAGGTTCAAACTCATTTATGTGCAGGAATGGGTGAGAATTAGGAAAATTCTAGTTGCAAGCCTGAAATTCCCATAGATTGCTTCTCAAACTGGGTGGAAGTACCATACGGGTTTACAGAGGTGTGCCAACAAATTCAGGATGCTCTTTCCTTCTAGAACAGTAATTCTGCCCACAGGTTTGAGAATGGGACATTGGGTGTGGTGGCACATGCCTGTAATCTCACCACTCAGGAGGCTGAGGCAGAAGGATCACCCCGAATCTGAGGCCAGCCTGGACTACATAGTGAGACCCAGTCTCAAAAAAAAAAAAAAAAAAAAAAAAAAAAAAAAAAAAAAAAAAAAAAAAAAAAAAAAAAAAAAAAAACAGAAAAATAAGGGCCAGGGATTTAGCTCAGTGGTTCCACTGCCTGTCTGGCAAGTGTAAGGACCCGAGATCGATGCCCGGTACCAAAAACCGAAAACCAAAACCAAAAAACAAAAACCCCAAAACCATAACCAAGAACAAACAAAAATCAAAGAAAACCAAAACAGAAAAAGATTTAAGAATGGGAAATTAGACTTTAGTATTAAAACAGAAATGTGCCTATTGTGAACAGGAGGTAAAAATAATATACAAAATCTTAGAATAAAGAGGAAACTCAGGCTGGACAGCTTTGGCCATTCTTTAATGTATGAGTGGAACCAGGGCTTTTGCTTCTGCGCAGGAGTTGCTTAAGAAATACTTGCCTTATGGGTCTTTTGAGGTATGTGCACTTTAATAGGGTAAAGGTATTAGGTTACCATGGAGGGACATTCCTGCTAAATAATAGACATATGTAGAAAATCCAATTTCACCCATGAAGAGAGTTTAAAGGGGTTCTGAGGGTGAGAGGCAGGCTAAACCAGAGACCTGGCTCCAGAGTCCTGGTGACATACAGATTCTCTTAAGACCCCGGCTAAAGGCTGGGTTTGAATTGACCCAGACAGCTGGCAGATCTGTTAGCTTTTCTCTGACCTCCTCAGTTTTTGTTTGTAACACCAACCCTCGTGCTTACCATGCCATAATGTTAGTTGTACTTTTCCTTGTGCATGGACTGCGTCTCAGCCAGTCCTGCAGGTGGTGTGAATTAAGAAAATGTATATGACCAAGAGCCAAGACCTTGCTTACCTTCCCTGAGCTCTCGGATCCCCTTGCTCACCAATTAAATGGCCCAATATAACACCTGCCTTGCCTATTGAATAGGGAGGATTGTGTTCAGAGCATATGGATTTGTGATGTAGAACATTGTGTAAATCATTACACAGAAATCAGTTATTAACTAAGACCCTAAAGGGAAGGAGGGCTTATCTCTCCCATCATCTTGCTGTTCCCCCAGCCCCTAACTTTTTTGTGGTTGGTTCTGATAACAATTAATGATAAAGATCATGAACCACTGTACCCAGTATGACCCTGGGAAAGCTAATTTTGTTTTTGTCTACTACTCTGGACTCTTTCTCTTCTTTCCTCTGAGTGACCCTCCCAGAAAAATCTGGATGGATCCTAAAAGGACACTTAAAGAGATTATTTCATGGACGCTAATGAACTCCTACGGGAATTTCAGGCAGTGGTCAGGAAAGTTTCACAGCACGGCCATTTTCGGGTGAGAAACAAACTTGTGTTACCCTAGAAGCTTTCTCCTCAATGCGAAAATGCCCAATCTCAGATTTTTTTTTTCTTTTAAATGCGAAATCTAGCCCAGTCTAAGTACTTCCCTATATAATAATGAAGCATTTCATCAAACTCTACTGAAGTCACCTTGCAACTTCCTCCTACTTCCGGCGGGACTTCTGGTAGCTCTGAGGGAAATTTCAGTACAGGTGGAGAAGGAAGTAGGTTTCCTATGCATTTCTTCGAGATACCCTTAGTGTGTGTAAACAGTAACCTTTCTAAGCCATTTCCTCACATCTTCCTGGGCCTCAGGGTTAAATGGACGTTTTAAGGCAGAAACCATCTCAGAGCTTTTCATAATTTTTTCTCTTTAAAGCTTTGAAACACCCACACTCCACACCAACCAGGCAAAAGTCAGATGAGAACTTGGTCAAAACAGTTTCTTACAGGTATTACTTTTATTTATTTATTTATACTTATTTAGAGACAAAAATCTCACTGCATCTTTCAAGCTGGCCTTGCAGTATCTACCCTCCTGCCTCAGCCTCCAGAGTGCTGGGATTACCGGCCTGCACCACCATGCATTAGCTTATCTTTTTTTTTTTTTTTTTTTTTGGTACCAGGGATCGAAATAGGGTCCCTGCGCTTGCAGAGCAGGCGCCGGAACCACTGAGCTAAATCCCAGGCCCTATCTTTCGTTTTTTAAAGTACATTTTTGTAATAAGAAATCAAGTCAGAGGAATGAAGAAGGGTGGGAGAATGTGGAGCAGCAACTTTATTTTCTCCCCTGGGGGGGGCACGGATCGGGTGGGGGGGCACTACTGATCTTCAGGTCAAGAACAGACTCAGGAGCTTTAGCTCAGTGGTTCCGCTGCCTGCCTCACAAGTGCAATGTCACCAGTTCGATCCTCGATACAAAAAAAAAAAGAAAGAAAAAGAAAAAGAAAGGCCAGTGACCCAGGGTCATAGGGAAGCCCAGATCACGGCAGAATGGGAGAAAGGCCCTCCTGGGTGGCTCTGTACGGCCCTGGACCCGTTTCCTGCACTAAGTAGTTCCAGGTGATGGGGGCAGGCCCGTATCAAGCGGCCCCCTCGGACTTCGCGCTCACGAGGGCAGCACCAGCCCGCAGCTACCCCTGCCCCCGCCCCAGTGCCCGCGCGGTTGTCCCGGAGACCACCCAGGTTTGTTGGCAAACCGGGCTCTCCCACTATGAGTAGCTACAGGGGTGCGTGCCGAGTCTCCCACATCGTATCGGCGCTGCCCCCCACGCCCACATCGCCCGGCCACCCCTGCCGCGGTGGTACAGTCCAGTGGGAGTCCA